AACTGTAGAGCCAATTTAAAATTGGACCATCTACCCCGTTTCTTTGAAGTTTGAAAATTAATCCTTTATGCCAGACCTTATCAAAGGCTTTAGAAAAGTCAAGATAAACTGCTCGGACTTCTCTGTTGGAGTCAAGAGCGTTGAAAATTTTGTCGGTAATACAAATAAGCTGGTTAACTGTCGAATCTCCTCTGATGAAGCCCGACTGAAGAGTATACAAAAGGTTTTGAGACATCAGATGGTTATACAAATGTTTATAAACAATTTTCTCTAAGATTTTTGACAAACAAGGTAGCAAGGAAACGGGGCGATAGTTTGACACATCATCATGATCTCCTTTTTTATAAATCGGAACCACATTTGCCAGTTTCCAGGCTTCGGGAAAAACACCATGGCAAAGTGATAAATTAAAAACATGTGCGATTTTATCAGATATATAAGGACATATTAATTTAAGGAAACGGTTATCAATATTGTCATAGCCACATGCCTTTGATACATCTAAGGAAGAGACATAAAGTTCAATCTCCTCAGGTGTAGTAAAACATTCTGAGAAGCGGACATTAGTAAGAAAATCTAGTCGAGGGAGGCTAGACTTGGAGTCATCTATGGTGGACTGGTCAGAAAAATATTTGTTAAACATAATTGCCTTTTCCCTAGAGTCGGTTACATAGGTATGACCAGACTTTAAGGGTGGAATAGTAGAACACACTTTACTACAGTAAAAGGATTTAACAATGTGCCACCATTTCTTACTGAAACAAGAAGAAGTTGTCAGTGAGTCGACGAGACGGTTGTTATAGGACGACTTAGCAAGAGAAATTTCACGTACTACTTTATTTCTGACATTACGATATAATGACCATAGTGAAGCATTGTTCAACATTTTAGCTCTCCTGTGAATCTTGTCTCGCCGACGCATTAACAGTCTAATCCTGGAAGACATCCAAGGTTTGTCTCTCGGTCTTACAGTAATGTTCTTATGGGGAACACACTTACTTTTAGCTATTCGGCAATTCGGATTACACACTTGAGCTAAGTTGATATCCATAATGTGCAGGCACATATAGTTTGTGTTACTTTTACAAGAAAACAATAAATTCGAGATTTTCCACTTCAAAGAATGATCTTTTTACAGCTTTCAACTTCTCCCTATTCCTATGTCTAAAGTTTCGACTTCCTGTTGCATGTGACTCTCCCTACTGTAACTCTCCCACATGATGTCAACCTGCTCTAAACTTCACCTTATTTCCTTTCCTCACCCTTTGACCTTTAATCCTGCCCGTAAATCTCCTGACCCGTGTGTCGTCAACCTACTCAACCTACAAAGATGCACACCAAACAAACCAGGAACCCAAAACAATACTCGAAACTTATGTGATTAAATTCTTATCAAAATGCCTACCTCCAACCATTCTCCAATGTTGGTTGATCCGGCAATCCAGGCGCCCGAGCCTTCACTACCGGAATGTCTGTTGAATAACCGGCCGAAGTAAGACGCCTGGTGTCTACTCAACTCAAGCGAGGATGCATTGATCTTGTCATTTGGTATTTGACCGGATGCCATCCCTAACGGGTCGCTGCAGCCTGGGAGTACAAGAAACACATGTTAAAGTTTCCCTTGGAAAATTGACATAAATTGTTTAAGCTCTTGCTAAGTTGTAAACATTTTATGGAGAGTCCAATGACGCAGTTTTGACTTAATATATTCTTGATCGAACGTTAACAATCACAAAGGGTCCCTCCAATCATAATTTCTAGAGCCATCTTCCATAATTCAGAGCATAGGACATAGTTTAGTTTAACGATCTCATACCTATGTCGAATGATTGAACCTTTATTACACTATGTTTAAATAATTATGAAAATCGTGTAAATGTTTGCATAAACATTATATGTTGATTTTGTTCTCCACCCGAATAACATGGGTTAAACAAAAGCAGTTTTATTTCTTTACAACGAAAGCAAGTCTAGCATTTCTTTATCGAATATGCAAATATAGTCCTGATTTGCGTAACTCATATTTAATGATTTTTACATTAAACTACCTCTTAAATCACATAGTTCGCTGCCTTGTACTTCATGGTTAACTCGGAGGTTAAAGAAAATGACCAGACCTCATGACACTATATATACACCTCGGGGCGGTATATGATGCATTCATTACAATGTCTCAGTGTAAAACAGATAGTCACCACGCATGGAAGTAAATAGTAAAAAAAATTCCTTTTGACCACTCTGGTTCACCAAACTGGTTGCATTCTATTATATTTCCCGCCCGTTCGAAAACGCTTCCACTGCGATTCGGGTAAATCGCTTTCCTTATACCTGGTCCACGTGCTGTGCGTTCCTTTCAAACCGTGCAGGAGCACGATTCGTAGTTTTTTAAAGACATAATGTACCGTTGAATCAATGTTTCTCATAGTTTTTATACACACCACCGATCGTTTTGGGAGGGGAAGCCGTACCAGCAACAACCGTGTCGAAGGGTCTAGGGTTCACTTTTGACAATAAGCTAACATGGAATGGTAGCATCAAGTCAAGTTTAACTACGGCCTGAGGCAGATTACATTATCTACGTCTGCTGTGCAAACAAATCATGGGTGTTGAAGATCTTCTCCGGGTATCGTTGATTCATCCTCTTCTGGAATACGGGGATATCTTATTGTTTGGGTTCAGTGCTGAACAGTCGAGAGACATTGAACAAGTTCGGAAGCAAGTATTGCGCATAATCTCTTTGGTGGTAAACGGACGGTGCCAAACCTTCCTCTACTAAAAAAAAAGGGAGAGATGAGTTGGCTGCCATTACCCTAAAAAAACATGCTGGTTCCACATCAGAGACTGACATCCACTGGGCGAAAAGTGAGAATGACAACATCAGCCTTCCATTTGCCCAGAACAGTAGCGAATGAGAAAATTATTTATGTGGCTCTTCTGTTAGACTTTACAATGAGACCTTGTAAAATAAGCTTCTCTCCGTAATGACGTTCCGATCTGCAGGACTTCTGTTTTGAAGCTGTTTTTAATTTTTAAAACCGGTTTGAAACAACCTCTCGAGGTCATTTGGGATCAAGGCCCTTTTAATGCGGTTTGGAGCCACATATATAAATCCTGTTTCAGTGGAATCTGGATCGAATGCGGTTACAGCGTTTTCGTCTGAATATGATTATAGACTTGCCACTGGGGGATACTTACCTGAGAAACAACGGTATGACACTTCTAAGAACCTGGGGCCACAGAATTTGACACCATCAAAAAAGTCATCCATTGCCGCCACGATGCAATGCTGAAAGCCCTGACAGGCCTTCCACACAATAGGTATACTATTTACTGCCCGGCAGTTTGGGCATTCCACGTCATATAGTTGACAGGGCCCGCATTTGCATCTGGACGGACTGCAATGACAGCTCATCATGCCTGGGGTAATGGACTTGCTGCCGTAGATGGCGTCATCGATTACCAGCGATTCTCCCTTGGGACAAGACAGCTGCTTGTTTTCTCCCTCGCTGACATAGACGGTTTCTGAATCACAGGTGATAATAATTCTCAAGTTAATTTAATTCTTATACACACTTTTTTTACACCAGACTGGTCATTTTGTCTGCTGTACAGTTTCTAGGCTAAAACAGTATTATCCTTTTTTGTCTAATCGTTATGTCCTCTTTTCTTATTTTCTGTTTGAAGGTATGTATAAATATCGTCGAGTATATCGTATAAATTAATGAATAAATATCGTTATTATAGATTTGTGCCCAACTTTATACGGAATGAATTTTGAGATTTCAGAAAGGACCTAAAATTTCAGATAATTATTTCTAGATCCAGTCCTACCAGTCTTGGTGGTTGTATATTTTGGTCGTTTAGTTGACTTGATCTTGTTTAATACCATCTCTTTGGTGGGGCGATGCAAAGTCTAGAAACGATAAAGAGGTACATGTTTTGGCTCCTGTACGATTCTGAGGGTTGATGTTGATTTAGTTTGTTTTTTTTTCTGATAAGGACGTAAAACCGGGGGCTCTGTGTGAGTTAGGCCTTCTATAAGCCTCAGGTACCAATATGCCACCATCTGCAATTTAGAGCTAGCACGCGAGTGTCCCGTGGTTTGGTTGAGTAGGTGAGGCAAGATGGACATGCATCATGACAGCAGGTCTACGAACCTGACTGGGAGTCAACAGGAATGGTGCCATAGGGGAATTCAGGAATCCAAAATGTATTAACCAATATTATTGTCCAATTTGTTGTCGAATTTGGGTGTCGTGGGATTCTTTAAATACAAAAGGGGTGGGATATCAGGGGGAAAAGACGGATTCAATACTCACTTCTGACGGTGTGGGTGTCACAACTCGTTTTGTAGTTGTCACTTGTGGCAGCACAGTTGTTATCTTTGGCAGCACAGTTGTTACTTGTGGCAGCACAGTTGTTATCTTTGGCAGCACAGTTGTTACTTGTGGCAGCACAGTTGTCACCTTTGGCAGCACAGTTGTTATCTTTGGCACAACAGTTGTCAACCCCGGTAACACAGTAGTCAAATTTGACAGCACAGTTGGCTGTGCTTCTTTCCAAGTCAAGGTTGGGGAGATGCTCGTTTTTAGAAGAAGCTCGGGTGCAGGTGACTTCGTGCATGATGTGATCTTCCATAAAAATGTAGTTGATGCGACGACTGGAACTTCCTTTATCTTGTTAAAAAAACAAATCAATAAAGCTGCCGTTAATATTTTCTGACCATTACAGAGGTTCTTTTAAGTACAAAGATGCAAAACACCCATTCATGTATTACTCTGAGTTGGTACTCTGAAAGATTGCCTTCCCGAAGAGCAAATGGCTGTGTAAACTTGTGTTTTTATCAATGACAAAAATTTGCTTCCAGCCTGCCCAACGGATCTAAGACGTCAAAGTAGTGTGATCTTGATAGTAACAGGAGAAATAAGTACGAAATTTTTGCCCAAGGGTCTGGTGGTGCTGTCTAAGTAAACAAAGAATGGATAATATCATGACATCAATTAATACTTGAGACTCACGAAGTGGATCCCAGCATTACTTTCAGATGATAAAGTTGTAAGTATGACAGCAGACAGTCCTGCAGCAATCAAGGTCGCTACTGCAACAGCGATGGTGACTCCACAAAGGAGACGGTGACGGAGAAACTCAGCCCTGCACCTTTTAGCAAAGCCACGGATGTCTTCTTCCTCCGAGTCATCTGTACGAATAAGAAATCGTAGAAATTCCGGGAGTACCTTTGGATTCCTCGAATTTATCAAAGCGATCTAAGATATTGTAAGATGTGATTTGATCGGGACTAGGACCGAAACTGGAGCCGGGTCACTCAAGGAATCCTCGGCTTGCTGAATTCCCCTTAACGTCGACCTCTATTCCCTGATAACCTTTAACCTCACCTTGTTCCCCGTTTGACCTTTTGACCGTCTTTCATTTTCTTCTCCCTATCCTCCGCTAACCCGCGCGTTGTCATCTTACCCTTCCTAGACAAATTTAGACAAAAACCCACAAAGAACCCCACCACCACTACCACCACCAAAAAAATCAGTTACTTTATATTTAGAATGGGCAATTAGTCATCTAGGTACGTGTGCCTCAAGTTAGTGATGAAGTGTTAATGGACTGCATATTCCTCAGTGTACAGTATATGGTTTCATAAGGTCTGTGATGGCCTGAGTTATCCACCGAGTGAGCGCGGCGAAAGAGTTAACTAGGACTTGGCCTCGATCGAAATTACAACCCACAGAAAGCAAGGCCACTTAATCTTTGCACTGGAATATATTACAGATTACTTAAAAAGGAAAAACAAAACCTCCGTCATCAGGTTGCCGACCACCAGCTTCAGTATCGTAGACGTGATTGTCGGGATCGTAGTTATTGTACACATGACTGTCGGTATTGTCGTTGTTGTACGTGTGGCTGTCGGGACCGTCGTTGTTATATACGTGGTTATCGGTATCGTCGTTGTTGTATACGTGGTTATCGGGATCGTCGTTGTCATCATTGAAATCGGATGGACTTTCTCCATCTGAGGAAAAAGTTACTTCTACATTTGATGAAATATGAAAATAGTATACTGGTTTCAAGGGGCTTTGATGTTGATTGACATTAGGGTGTGGGATAAAAAGTGGCGCCCAGAAATGAATTGAGTAGCAACACTGATTAGTTTGATAAATAGCAAAACAAACAAAAGGGCTTAGCGCTGATTTGATGTACTTTATTGAAACTATAACAACACAATTCACGTCGGACACAGAAAGCTGTTGCTGATGTTGTGTCCCACACATAAAAACAAATACAGGACAGGACTTATTTTTTAATTAACCCTAAGCAGTATACCTGGGGTACCTGCGGACCCCGGCATTCTGTATCCTGTAATATTTTTGTTTCTAGAGATTTTGATACATTGCCGTTCTTAAATATTACTTTATACACTTTATACTTCATCCATTTTATACATATTAATGAACTTATCATAGGAATACCAAGATTTCAATGAATAAAACAACTTCGGTGTAATTAAGACGGCATATGACATCTTTGTAACGTCGTTTATATGATTTCTTGGCGTAAAATCATTAATTTTTTTCGTTAAACTCAGATGATTAAAACAAAACTTCCAAAAATGACCTTAGTATTTATGACTAAATATTAAGGTCTACTAAGACTTATGTTGCCCCTAGCAACAGCACTGAAGTCAAAATTACGTCATAAAATGACGTATTTCATTTTCCGCCAGCTTGGATAGTCAATCATGAATTTTTAAAATTTCATGTTTTTAAGATACAGCCTGAAAATGTAATGCAAATGGACTAATGATGTTCATATGAACTTTTTATGTGAACAAAATTGTGAAAAGAACGTCGTTACAGCGGAGCAAAAAATATGGTCCGCCATCTTAGATTTTGATTAATAGTGTCATAAATTTTGCATATATTATAAATATTAAATGATATAGTTTATATTTATCATATAAGATGTTATTAATGTTAGAAAGAAAGGGGATTCAATATAAAACCCAGAAAAGTTTTATGTTTAAACCAAAATTACTGAATTTTTCAAAAACTGTCAGAAACCCCGTGCCATAGCAACACGAAAAATCATTTACTTATGTTATTAATATGAATTTTAGTCCAAATACATTTTAGGAAAAGTCTTCAAATTTGATGGTTCTAACGCAAGCCGTTTAGGTGAGATCAAAGTTAACGCGGGCTTTTAAAGCCCCCATTGGTCTAAATAGGATTCTTAAAAAAAGTGAATTTCTCGTTTTCTTCCATTTTTCACAAAAAAAGGAAATGTTAAAATATTTGATTTTTGTACGTAATATGGACTCAGGGGTTCACAAATCAATTCAGCAAAACAATGGACCTATTACATTATTTCTTCACAGTTTGTTTAATATAGATAATTTAGTTGTGACAGTAGACGAAAGTAGTATATGTAATACTACACAAACACACACACCTGTACAATATAAACATCGATTTACCACAAACTGTCCCGGCATTCATTGCGGTAAACAAGCTGCTGACGTAATAATGTAATAGGTCCATTGAGCAGGTAGCATGCTGATAATTTCTACCTAAGGGTGACATATTAAGTATTCTGGGAAGGCGTACTGTTGAGGGTTAAGTGAGGAAAGTCGTATATAGTGTACTTTCCAACGGCACAAGATCAGTAGCATGTCAGGACTCGAACCCTGGACACCCTGGTCCTGAGACGAGCACTCTGTTATTACGCCACACGACCCCGCACGGTTGGAGTCATGTTAATTTTACTACCAGTATGTATTGCCATTAGCTATGTTCAATTGAAAAAAACCCACAAGAATTCGTAAAATTTATCTTACAGGTAAGTATTTTTAATTTTCACCCAGGCAAAATATACCTACTCTTAAGTTTACCCAGTTAGCTTTCCTAACCTGTTGATCTGGCAATCTGCTTTTTTGTCGTCCACCCACCCATGTCTATCCGGATAAAATATACATACAGACCTACAGATCACCAAGCCCAATACTTGCATAGTATGCAAGTATAATGTAACCACAAAGCACCTGAGTGAAGCGTCACATTGTCCTGGTTATGTTTTCATGTTTTGATGAATAAAAATAACACAAAGTAAGACAAGTGCTGCTGAAAACATGACCTTTTTTGAGAAAGCGCGTAAGAAGACATGTGTACGGTACCTTCAGGCTGTCGGCCACTAGGTTCATGGTCGTTCACGTGACCGTCGGGATCGCCGTTGTCGTTCACGTGGACGTCGGGATCGCCGTTGTCGTTCACGTGACCGTCGGGATCACCGTTGTCGCTCACGTGACCGTCGGGATCGCCGTTGTCGCTCACGTGACCGTCGGGATCGCCGTTGTCGCTCACGTGACCGTCGGGATCGCCGTTGTCGCTCACGTAAACGTCGGGATCGCCGTTGTCGCTCACGTGACCGTCGGGATCGCTGTTGACGTTCACGTGACCGCCGGGATCGCCGTTGTCGTTCACGTGACCGTCGGGATCGCCGTTGTGATCGTTGTCATCGACCATTTTCCCTTCATCTAAAGGGAATTTTTTTAAACAAAAAGCAGCTTAAGTAGAAATGCCAAAAGGGAGTTCTCAAATTTAATTGAATTGCACGTTTAGTAAATTATAATTTGCTACCTTAATCAAATGATGATGATGATGCTGAATCAAATTAAGGAAAAATAACTCAATCAACAAAACATAATTTTGGTTTTACAGCAGTGTGTGTAAACAGTAAATCGTAAGTACATGTAGACTATTGTCATCAAGCAGTAGTGGTGGACTGGGATGTAGAAGTTGGGATCCCTGTGTACAGGTGATGTCATTGCAATTGGGTCAGTATCAGTAACGTCTGACTCTTTGTAACAAGTTATCCGGGAACTGACATAACGTGTAGCTGAAACCGATTAAACAACTTCACCTTAATAATGTACATTTCGACCAACATTACAAAAAAAGACCCGAAAAAGAGAAAGTCGTGGACATCCTCCCTTAATAAAATCGTTCGTGGTTTTGTTTTCTTTTTGTGTATTTTTGTCCCTTATGTTGATAAAGGTATTTTGAGTAAGTTTTACCATAATGATACAATCTATCTTGAATATTAATGATTTTGTTGTGGCATATTGTTGTTTTGATGGAAGAAAGGGGTATGGAACACATTGTGTTAGGAGGTGTTGTTATCTACATATGCCACCAATCTGACCCCATTCCGTGCTAATGATGACCCAAGCAGCGTACTGCTGTCTGGTGTTTCTATGCGATGCTCATTCCCATAGTCTGTTTACTTTAAGAGATAACATACATTGCCTGTAGGCTCCACACGCCTATGAATAGACTTATATTAAGGTTAATGACCTGCCAGAACAACACTCTATTATATAAATAGTGGGTGTGA